GCTGCCCCCCTGCAGGGAGCACTGGGCCTCGGTGCCTGTTCCTGGTGGGATGACCGGAAGGGAAAGAGGACCGAGAGGACCAAGCATCTGTGTTCCTGGGCCAGAGGAGGGTGTCCAGAGGAGGGTGTTCACCATCTCCAAGGCGACCGCCTCATACGGCAGAGGATGAGCCCCTTCCGTGGGCTCTTTCCTCCAGGAAGCCTTCTATGGTTCCTCAGTCCTGAGCTGAATGTGGTGTGGTATCCTTGAGGGGTGTCCCTCTTGCCCCCTCTCTCTGGGTGTACGCCTTGTCGGGGTGTCGTGGGGCCTGGCACGGGGGAGAAGTACCGAGCAGTGGACGGATGCTCGTGTGCCCCAAACAGGCAGCGTGGGTGGGGGCATCAGGAGGGTCTGCCGGTCCTTCTTGAGGAGACTGGAGAGGAAACAGCTTCTGAACTATGTCCCCGTCTTCCCCCAGCCTTGGTTGCAGCCTTGGCGGCCCCGAGCCTAGGGAGCCCTCAGATGTGGTCAGCAGGGCCAGGCCACAAATGCCCAGTGCTTGGGGCTGGCAGAGGGACAGCAGCCCCATGTGGGTGGCAGCCGGCACTGTCGGCCTCTGCTGGCCCCGGGCCGGGCACGGAGGCCGCTGTGCTCCCGGCTGTTATCTCGTGTGGTTCCAATCAGGGGAACGGGCCAGCGCTGACTCAGGGGTGAGGGCCGAGAGTCAGCACATTTCTCCCTGTCTCCAGCCGGATCCAATCAACACGAGGTCCCCAAGTGGCCGTCTCTGGACACAGAAGACGATCCGCGGCCCTGAACTTGGGTTTGCGGGGGACGGGGCTGAGGGCGGTGGCCACAGCGCTTCTGGGGGGGCGGGTGTTCTCCAAAGACAGAGCTGCCACCTCGGGATCACGTGGGGCCAGGACCGGGGGCGTCCTCGCCTGCTTCTAATCCACAAAGCACCGTGGCCGGTGGCACCCGGAGGCTTGGGGTGTCGGCCAGCTTCACTCCTGCCCCTGCTGAGGGTGGATCCCCAAGTCAGAACAGCATCAGGGGGTTATGGCCCAGAGGGTGTCAGCGCACTCTGTCAGGACACTGCATCGCCCTGGGGCTTCTAACCTGCCCCCTCCCCATCCCCCAGGCCCTTAACCAGTTCCTGCCAACCCAGCCTGGGGCCTGCCTGGGGGGGGGCTGCAGTCTCCCCACTGCCCCTGGGCCAGGGACCATGGGGACGAGGTCAGGGCTTGCCATTTCTCCCAGGGAGGGGCCCATCTGTCTGTCCGTCTGTCTGTCTTCTACCCACTGACCTCATGGCAAAACCCAGAGAAAGAGAACGCGACTCCGGGCGCCCCTCACGAGACAGGCTGGGGCTCCCCCTGCAACCCTCACGAGATGGGGCTCGGGGACTCCCATGCCTCTCAGGCTTCACATGTGGCTCAGAGCCTGGCTGTCTCCTTACTCTGAGCCTGGCCTCCATTTCTTCTCCCTAATTATCCTTTTTTTTATTTTTCTGGATTGAATATTAGGTGTTCTGCTCATGGACGAATACTAAGAACTAGATATTATCTAGTGCTTCCCCGTCTCCAATCCACGTTCAAGGGAAAACAGCATTTCTGAGAGGGTCGTATTGAAACTGCCCTCTCTGGGTGTGGATGTGTCACTCTATCATTGCAATTTTTCAATGGCTGCCTTATATATTTTGAGACTTTTTGCTGTGCATATAGGTTCACAATTCTTTTATCATCATTTTGAATTGTTTCTTTCCTCATCGAGTAATGAGACTCTTCGCCTGCTATGGCATTTTTTTTTTAAATTTCCTAAGGTCTAGCTTGTCTGAGAGTGATATTAATATTCTTCAGATTAATATTTGTCTATTGTATCTTTTTCTATTTCTTTTATAAATGTTTTGAATGTGGGAAGACTTCGTAAGACGCTGTAGCTGGATTTTATTCTGCACCATAATCAGATAATCTGTCTTTACGTTAACAAACAGATTAAATCTATGTATACAAAATGAGTCGATTTGTCTTTTATAGCTTCTGTTTACTTCTTTTTGCATTTCTTCCTTCTTCTCTTCCTCTGTTGGGTTGCTGTTTTGTTTGCCTGCTATAATATGGAAGTCGACATTTGATTCTTCCAGCCTTGGAGTGAATATACTCGGATATATACTGTACTTACCAAACATCGAAAGTTATTCAGCATCTCTGTTATTCTCCAGAACAATGCACATTCTCAAACTGTCTTCGCTCTGTTTGCTCATACTGTTTTAAAACACCCAAATGAAGTCACTGCCACTCTAAGGAACATTTTAAACAGCATCTTCCGATGTATTGAACAGCAATTAGTTTGCTTCCTCTAGCTTCGTGTTCAATTCCCTTCTAGCTAAGACATCTTGCGAATTTTTTCCTTTCAGGAGGTATTCTTAGAAGCCGAAAGAGCAACTTCTCCTGTCTTCAGAAGACAATGGGTGTCCGTCTTATTTTAGCGCGTTGGTGCAGGTTGACAAGCTCTTCCGAGTTCCTTTTCTGCCAGTGCTGGGGAGGATTCACCCCCGACTGGGACAGGACGGCCCGCCTGTGCATCTCAGTCTAAGTGCCTCCAGAGCCCTGCAGTTCCACCGCTGGCCACCCGGGGCGCCCTCCTGGTTCTTCCTGCTTGGAAGTCCTGCCTTTCTTCATCTGGGGGACACTCTCAGGCCCCCCAGCATGGCCGCTTCCCTTTCCCCCTGTGAATATTCATTCTGGACTTTCTTTCAGGCTTATTTGTTTTTTTTGTTGTTGTTGTTTTTTAATAAATTTTATTAGTGAGACACCATGAGATACAGTTGTAGACTTACAAAGTTTTGTGTTTGGGTTTCAGTTATACAATGATCAAATACCCATCCCTCCACCAGTGCCCATTTCCCACCACCACGGATCCCAGTATCCCTCCCACCCCCCATCCCCCCTATCCCCCCTGCCTCTGTGGCAGGGCATTCCCTTTTGTTCTCTCTCTCCTTTTGGGTGTTGAGATTTGCAAAAGAGGCAATGGGTGGCAATCATGTTTGGTCTATAGTCTATTTTCAGCATGCTTCTCCCACCCTGGGAGGATCCTCCCAACACCCTTTACTTGGTGCTCCCTTCTCTATCTGAGCTCCCTTTTCCCCTAGCATATGTGGCTGGCCTCCAAGCCATGGAGCAAAATTTCAGGCTTATGTGTGTATTGCTAGTCTTTCCCCTTTTTTGGTAGGGGCACTCAAGGCAGGGAGCTGAGTCTGGGGTCAAGCCTCCTGAATCCTCCCCCTGGGGTCCAGCCCCCTGCACCCTCCTCCTTCCCCTCTGGTTCCTCCTGCCCTCACCCTGCTGGTTGGGCTCATTCTGGTTTCTGCTGCACACAGATGTTTTCTGACATGATTTTTTTCCTCGTGTGGTTTATGGCAGGGACTGGGGTCTTGGTTTTTACAGTGGTGCCAGCGCCCCCCCCCCGCCCAGATCTGGGTTGCAGATGGCTCCCCAGACAATAGTTTGGGGCTGTGCTCCGGGATGGGCCCCAGGGCTGCTGACTTGGGAGCAGTTTTGAGGTCAGTGTGCTGACTAGGAATCCCACCCCAGGCTGACTCCCCTCCTCACCCCCGCAAACACACTCTGACAGAGGGAGACAGGGCTCCTTCTCTTGGCATATGAAACTTCTCTCCAGTCTGGGACATTGGGAGACAGTTCTCTGCGCCTTCCCTGGATGGGAGCTCTCTCCAGGAAGGATACGGCTCGTGCATGCTGCCTCCTTAGCACCTGTCAAACCTCCCTCTGACCCTCAACTCAGGCAATCCAGCACGGGGGTTGGGGGGGCACCGACCCTCGCCTCCTTGCCCACCCACCGCTCCCATTCCTGCCCATGGTTCTGTCTCCCAGGGGTTTCTCTGATTCTGCAAACATTTGCAAACAGAAAGGGACAAAAATGTCGATTTGCTTGGATCCACGGCGTCTGTGTGTTTCCTTCGGGTTCTGGGTGATGCCTGTCCTGTCCTCTCCTTGCTGCCTATCTGAGGCCGTCCGTGTTCCCTGCCTCAAGCCAAGAATGGACCAATGGTCCGCAGAGGGAAGGAGGACACAACACTGCCTGAAGTCAGCTTCTGGAAGCACCCCGAGATCTTACTGCTGTTTAGCAGGGGAGGGCACGTGCGGTGGTGCTCAGGGATCACGCCTGGTGCTCTCGGGAGACCATAGGAGGTGCCGGGTATTGAACCTGGGTCTGCAGCATGCAAGGCAAACGCCCTCCCTCTTGCACTATTGCCCCGGCCCTATCATCCGCTGCTCTCAAGACCAAGTAATGTTTCCAGTGCCTAGAGGGGCCAGCACCCAAAGGGAACCTCCATTCTCTGGGCCCCCCACAGGGCCCAGGACACAGCACTTGTCAGGGGAACACACAGATAAATCAGCAGTTCAACACAGGTGCATGCCAAACTTCAAAGGCCAGAAAACCCAGTGGGGACTGGGGGTGGGGGAGGGGGACGCGGGCTACGGACCATCAGGCCCTGGGATCCCGTGGATGGGGTGAGGGTGAGGAAGACTCTGGGATGGATGGAGATCTAGGGAGAGTTGCTTCTCCCTTGGACCTTGTGAAGACCCTCCATGATCCTGCAGCCTTGCTCAATAGGCGCTGACTAATCCCCGAGTCATCTAACACTGCTGGGCTTCCTAGGAGAGGGTCTGTCTGGTAGAGCCCCCAACCCTTGGGGGTAGGTGGGGCCAAGGCCGACCTGCAGTTAAGCCCACCCTGAGATATGGTCAGGTGCAGCCCTGGCCTCAGTTCAGCACCCATTGTGCTGATACTGGAACGGAACGTGACCTTTTCCCTTGACCCACTGCGGGCTCTGGGCGCGTTTTGGCAGCAGAGATGTTGAGTTTTACTCAGGGACTCCCAGTATCATTTGTGTTTGTCAAACAGGTTCAGGTGTGAGCCCCCGGTGGTAGGCATCTGCCTGGTCATGTTCAACGACGTACTGTGAACGGAGTCGCAGGGGGCCCCCGAGGTGCAGGACTCACCGTGTGGTTCCGAGTGAGGGAGACCAGAGTCCCGTCCTGCTGGTAATGCATTTCCGTGAACCCACTGGCGATGAGGCCACTGTGGAGAAAAGGAAATGATGTGGCAGATGAGCGCACAATCTTGTAGAACCGAGCAGGGAGGGCTTGGCCAGGGGCCACACTCTCCCGATCCACAGAGGACCCCACAAGCCCTCCTCCAGCGAGATAGGAAGAGGTAGAAGACCTGGGTAGGTGTAACACAGACATGTGCTTCCGGTCACAGACCCTGGGACCAGAAGGAGCCGCACTCTCCTGCCACCTCATTCAGCCAACATGCACACAGGCATGCATGTGGGCACCTGGGCACACTCGGTGCCCATTCCCAAGTCTGGTGGGAAGGGACAAGGACTCACTCTCATCAATAGCTCTGCCACCTGTTGGGCAAATAATTTTGGATTCCTAATATTCCCATCACTGGTACTCCCAGGTTGAAAGGTCAAAGAAAGCTAGAGAGATAGCCCAATGCACCGGAGAACACGCGTTACATGTGGGAGCCCTGAGTTCCATTCCTGGGGACCACACAGTTCTCTCAGCACCAGCAGGAGTGATCCCAGGGATGCAGAGAGGGCCAGGTTTATGATTGGTCAGGAGATACTGGCCAAGTGCCAGTTTCAGACACTATAATCTGTGGTGAGTAGAAGAGCAGATGAATGGTCGGATGGATGGATGGACGGATGGATTAATGGATGGAGTGAGAGGGACAGAAACAAGATTAATACAGATGGATGGCGGTAAGGATGGAGATACTGAGAGGGGCAAATGCAGATATGGATGGGGGATGGATGGACTGAGAGAGACAGAAGAAGATATGAATAGATGGAGAGGTGGGTGGATAGATGACTATGTTGGTGGAATGATGGATGGATAGGCTGATGGATGGATGGACAGTTGAAGAATGGATAGGTTGATGGATGGTTGGGCTTCTGGAATGGTGGATGGATAGTTGATAGATGAATAGATGGTTGGTGGATGGATGAGTTGCTGGAAGGATGATGGATAGGCTGATGGATAGATGGTTGGTGGATGGATGGATGGCTGATAGAATGATGATGGATAATTGATGGATGGATAGATGGTTGATGGATGGATGGTTTGCTGGAATGATGATGGATAGTTAATGGATAAATGGTTGATGGATGGATGGATGGGTTTCTGGAATGATGATGGATAGTTGATGGACAATAGATGGTTGATGGATGGATGGATGGGTTGCTGGAATGATGATGGATAGGCTGATGGATAGATATATGGTTGATGGATGGACGGCTGATGGAATGATTGATGGATATGCTGACAGATAGATGGGATAATAGATCACTGAATCTGAGTGTGATTCTGGAGGTGCATTCTCTTTATCTAGATTCTTCCTTCCCGGCTGCAGGCAACACGTGCCCCACACACTTCTTGGGCACAAGCTGAGTGAAGGGACCACAGATAAAGCTGAGAAGGTGCCAGTCAAATATTTCTAAGATGAGGGTCTAACTGAAAGGGACCTGGGGTCAAAGGACATGGGAGGAAACCGAGGCAGCAGGAGCACATTGGAGAGGAATCACGTTGGGCCCATCCCCGCCAGCTCTGCCTGTGGGGAAATCCAGCCAGATGGACTCTCTGTATCAGCAAGTGCCAACAGAAGGTGGTGTATCATTTCCTAAGGACAATTTCTCTCTGCTCATTGGATTTGTTGCCATAACAAGGAATTCTGTTTCTCTGCATGCTAGGAGAAAGTGCTTCTCCTTCTGATGGTGCTGTTGCAAGTGACACCCACATAGACCCCCATTTCCCAGCATTCATGGTGCTGGAGTCAGCACGGAGGCACCCCAAGAGCTACCACTTGGTGAGGGGCAGGGCCCCCCAACCCCGAGCCCTCAGAGCCAATCAATTCTCCAGGAGGCACCCAAAGCGTTGTCGGGGTCTAGGAGAGCCCCTGAACCTGCAGTCTGGTGGGGGCGCCTGACCCAGAGGGAGGGGTGGGAGGAAGGGTCAGGGTGAGAGGGGAGTTGCTGAGGTGGGGAGAGGGGCAGACTGAGAACATTCCAGATGGCACGAGCACATCTCCAAGGCAAGGCAGGGACGGAGCCAGCGGGATTCATCTGTGGCATTCCGAGTTGTGGGGCTGAGATCTGAGGGAGGGAGGGAGGGAGGGAGGGAGGGAGGGAGGGAGGGAGCCTGGGCCACACCCAGAGGTGTCCAGTGACCGTGACTCTACCCCAAGTGGACTGGGCACAGCGATGGGAGCAGAGACGGAAATGGAGGCTCTGAGTCCAATGCGTTAGGTTCTGGGGAGCGGAGACAAACAGGAAGGAGAGTGGGCAGGTGGGAAGGGGAACAAGCCTGGACAGGCCTTCTGGGTGGGAATTTCAGGGGGGCGCTACGGGAACTGGGGGAGCAACAGGGAACGGATACTCCTGCCATGGAGGAGAGGCTGGCATGGGCCCAGGCATGTGAGAAGGGCTTGAGGGATGCTCTGGGGGCTGGAGAAGGCCCAGTGGGCTCAGGGCTGGGGAATGACCTGGACCCCAGATGGGGGCAACTGGAGGGCACTGGGTGGCCACCCAGGCAAGGGACAACGGGAGGGCTCTGGGTGGCCACACGCTCCTTCAGAAGAGCAGGACAGCCCTCGACCACCATCATTTCCAAGTCTTCAGGTCTTTGGAATTTATATGCAAACACGATGATAGAGAGAATGTTCTCCCTCACAACATTTCTTACATTTCTGGGAGTGATTTGAGCCTTGAAATAAAAATCACCCCCAACTGCTTCCTTTAAGAACACTATTGAAAACGGGCCGCCTCTCAATCGACCATTATATCATCTCGTCGGGTCCTTGGAACGAGATGGGTTTCATCGCAATGATTTGCTTTATTTCCCAAAGCAGAGAGAGCAGGAGGGAGCACCTCCTCTGGGAGCACTTTCTCTCTCCACTCTCTGCACCCTGGGTAGGAGATAATGTGTCTCCTGTATTCTGGCGGGGGTGGGGGGAACTCAGCAGATTTTTGCCCCCCACTATTTGTCCCCCATTGCTGGATTTCTTCCTTCCTCCCCCAAGTGGAGTTGGAGGACAGAAATCACCTCCTGGGGGCTGGTCCGCTGCCGTGAGCCTCATCAATTTAGTGTGTGAAAAACACCATGTCACTCTGCAGTTCGAAGCTAACCACCCCAACGACAACGTGCTTAAAAGAACCGGAGCTGGGGCTGGAGCAATAGCACAGTGGGTAGGGTGTTTGCCTTGCACGCAGCTGACCCGGGTTCGATTCCCAGCATCCCATATGGTCCCTCGAGCACCGCCAGGAGCAACTCCTGAGTGCATGAGCCAGGAGTAACCCCTGTGCATCGCCAGGTGTGACCCAAAAAGCAAATAAATAAATAAATAAAATTAAAAAAAAATCTGTCTAAAAAAAAAAAAAGAACTGGAGCCATTCCGAAGGCCAGCGGCTTCAAGGTTGGCTGCCACCATGTTCCCCGAACAGCGGGACTGGCCCCTTCCCTCCCTCATTATTTCAAGAATTCCAAGCGGTGTCAGGGTCATCAAGACCAGCCCTGACAATTGTCACCTGTTTCAGGCTGGCTTCAAGGTGGAAACGGAGGAGAAGAAGGCAAGGAGATTAGCATCAACTGCTTAGACTTGGCAAAACCCTCCGAGATGACTGTGACCCTCCGAGATGAACGGGGGTCAGTGGCTCCCCGTTCCTTCTCCGAAGATGATCCGTGTAGCTGAGGGATTTAATGATTCTCTGCCACACATTCATGCCAAAGTGTCCCTAGACACTTCGTGTTTGTCAATGAGCAAGCTAGAAGAGACCCCGGTCGCTTTGCAGTGAGGTCACGCGTCCGCCTGGGGCTTCCAAGCTCGCCGGGCAGGCGGGCCCCACTTGGTATTCACAGGACCCCGTGAGCCGACGAAAGATTTACTTCCCCACAAGTGATTATTCCACAAATTACAAAATCATCCATATATAAATTTGGGTAATGGTTTTCTTTTATGAGAACTTGGATACAGCTACAAATACTTTCCAAGGAGAGAGAAACTGCCTGGAGTTTTAACGCGACCCGGCACTCAATAAAAGTCATAATTAAAAACCACAGTCAGGACTGTCCCCGTGCCTTCGCTGAAAAGTTTCTCAACCAGAGCGACAGAGGCGGTCGGGGGGTGGCGAGGAGAGGCGACGGGCACAGACTGCGCCACTTGCTCGTGGGAGCACCCTTGTGGGGAACTGACCGGGGGGCACTGAGGGAAGGACAGAGGAGAGGTGAAGTCAGGGTCGGAACGCTAAGCCCAGCCGGCGCTTCCCTGCCTCAGCCGCGTCTACCCCGTCTGCACATATGAATGCGTTTTGTTTTCTGCAGAGAAAGTTACTGTCACCTGCTCAGTGACTGAAGCTCAGGGGTTCCTGATCTGGGAGGGAAAGCAGAGCCCCCTCCCACGTGGCCCCTCTGTGGCTGCCGTTCGTGGGGCCACACCGTCTGGCCCGGGGCACCTTCTTAGTTTCCTTGGCAGAGACCCCCGATCTGCCAGATTTGTTCAGCCACAGACGGAACTGGGCTCCTTCGGCCCCTCGGCCCGTCTCTTCCTCAGCCCCGGCCACCAGCACCACACCGGGAAGAACCACCGTTTCCTCTCCAGGCGTTTCTAGAGGTCCCTCACTAACCATGCAGACCCCGCCCAGGGCTGTCTCTGGAACCAGGCCTTCCACCCAGGCTCTCTCTGGAACCAAGCCTTCCGTCCTGCAAAACGGGGCTTCCGATGCTGTTCCTCTCAGCACTCACTTCAAGTTCCAATTATTTCGGGTGATAATTCCAGCATTTGGAGATCCATTTTACTATTGAGAGCTGTGCATCTGTACCGACAATGCGGCACTGACACTCATTTTTCTTTTGTCGTTCTCCATTTCCTAAGATACTCAGAATGATCAAAACAACTTTTTTTCCCTCCCTAGAATTAAAGAAAAAATAAAAAACAACCCCTTCTTTTCCCCAGATTTCTCATTTCGTTTCATAAACTCGAAGAAATGAAACTGTAGATACAGCATTTCGGAAACTGTA